TATCCCTGTCGTGTTATTACTGTGTATTTAATAATTAAAATGATTGATTCAAAGTTTAGTGAATGGGTAGAGATTTGACAACCACTTTGTCGATAATCTGAATGACGGGTCCTGCCTCCTCACTTCGCTGACTTTGACTGGCTTCACGTTTCCTTTTTCCTTTATTTTTTTCCTAACTAAAAAAAATTATACTTGGTGCGGATGAAATTGGACACTCATCCGTCCCCATCAGTCATTATCAATCTCTTGACTTGGGTATTTGAGTTGAATCGTATCCAAATTCTCACTCTTTCTTCTTCTTTTTTTTCCTTTTTCCGTTTTGAATAATATTTTTTAGTGTTGGTCCTGCGATTGTGTTAGAATCCTCTTCCCTCAATATCGCTTATATATCAACACAATGATTTCATATTTTTCAGTCATTGCTAAGCACTTCCTCTTCTTACTTCAGCCAAAAGAAAGAAAGAAAAACTCAAGAGTGGCTCTCCTATTAGCAAACAAATGATACAACTACTTCCAAAGTCATGCTCTTTGGAAGAGGAATCCATGAATGCTAATTACTAATTAGTTATAGAACACCACACCATAATGTTGGTGTAAGTGGCTCGATACAAGTCATGATGTGTAAGTCCCACATCGGAGAATAAAACAATAATATATCGTTCAAATATATAGGTGGTCCACTTCTAATTGCACCGATGCTTTTTGTGATAAAACCTCACACCTAGAGGTCCATTGAGCCTTCTCCCTCTTAGATGGTTAAGGTGGAAAGAGACAATATCGATGCATGATTTGAACAAGTAATAGACTCCTATTACACCTATTGCTACAATACATAAATTGAACCAGTGATTTGAAACCCCTTCTCTTCCATTGGCTAAAGCAGTCATTAAGTTCAAGATGTATGGTTCCGCCTAACCCTCTGAATTATTCCACTAATATTCTTAAGATTTTTATTTTATTTTAATAAATAAAGTTGGAGAAAAATCTTTGGCCCCGTTTTGAGTTTTATTAAATGAACGTGTTATGTTCACCTAATGTTTGAGCTGGCCTGGCCAATGTAGATGATGGTACATTAATTGTTCAAAAACGGACGAAAAATAAATTACATAAAATTGATGCCAAATGATCATTCATCATCTTATCATTTATTAAAACATTGATGCCACCTAAAATTACAACACACCCACTTTATTAGATGGATCAGTTGGTTTTTATCTGACCTCAAGTGTATGCTCCTTGGAAGAGGACCATTTCCAAGTCATGCTCCTTGGAAGAGGAGGCCATTGACAGTCATCCCTCCGTCAACGCAAATAGTTTGGCCAGTTATGTAAGAGGCCGCGGGTAGGCATAGAAATGCCACCAAGGCTGACACCTCTTCTGGCTCTCCAGGACGTCCTAACGGTGTTCGAGAGTTGATGATCTTCGAAAGATTTTCGTTGCTGAGAAACTGCATGTATAGAAAATAGAACCGATAGGAAACATATTTAGTAGCTGCTAACTCCCAAGCTTGTTAGGTATAAACATAATTTTCATAATCTGTCAAGCTCTTCAGCGAAAAAGACTACATATACCAATTATTATCGCAACTTTTGAGTACAGTTGAATTTTCTACTTGTTTCAAATAAATGAGAATATAAAATGAGCAAAGATATGAATAAATGAAATATTGCCGCCTCAAGCTAGTACTTTTAGGCCTAGTCGTGCATTGCCTTTTCTTTTCTTTTATACTTTTGATCCCAATTAAAGCACATGCTTAATTTGGATGTGTGAAGTGATCATAACATGGGGCAAAAAAAAAAAACCCATCTACCTATACATAAAAAACAAGAGATATTTATTCAAAAACTCATTTTAGCATGATATATTATACAAAAACTCATATAGAGCCTATTTGGAGTGAAAAATCCAAAATTAATCACTTGTTATTTTCTAATTGGTTATTAGTGAAAACCTACAAAAATACGGACATGATTTGGATATGATCATCTTACATGTTCAGCGAGGGGAGTTTTGGTGAACCCAGGTGCAACACTATTAGTCCTTATGTTATCTTTTGCCCACTCACATGCCAAGTTTTTGGCTAATTGATTCATTGCTCCTGAAAAACAAAACAGAAAGCTTCAACATTTAAGGTCAATTCTTCAATTGCAGAACACAAAGTTTCTTGGTTTTTTTCTAAGTACTAAACCCTATATTATATATAAATATATGTGTGTGTAAGGAAATCAAGGCACCTTTAGTGGCAGAATATGCAGATCCAACTTCCACCGAAACCACACCAGCAACAGAAGACAGAAAAACAATGTTGCCGGCTCCTGAAGCTTTGAGCAGAGGATGTGCAAGTTGGCAGAAGTGATAAGCAGATTCAAGATTGGTACTCATAACAAATGTATAATCTTCAGCTGTGAACTCCATCGTTGGTTTTAGTATGCCAGTTCCCACATTGTTTATCTACACCCACACATTAAATTTGCATGCCTTAATTAACTCAAAGTTCAGCAAATATACAGTGTTTACTTTTTCTTTTTTTTATAAAAGAACAAGAAAGCAAAAAGTACTTAGAATTTATGGTCTTATACTTACAAGGATGTTAAGTTTTCCATCAAACAATGATGAGACTTTGTTTATAAGCTCCTCTCTTTGGGTTCTTGACACCACATCACACACTGAACCAGTGACTTGAAAACCCTTCTTCTCCCATTGGCTCAAGCAGTCATTGAGATCAACTTCATTCCGAGCACAAGTATGAATAGTCGCACCTAGCCCTGCCAATTCTTCCACTATAGCGTGCCTAATTGCATAAACAATTTAACATGAAGTATTAAAAACTAATTGGTACCTGATAATTTATTTTTATTTATATAAAATAAAATAAAATAAAATAAGGAAGAAGATAAACAGGAGAATTTGGAGAAACAAAGAAAATTTTGCATGCATATGAGGAAGAAGAAGCTAACTAAACTAACCCAATCCCTTTGGTTCCTCCAGTAACAAGAGCAGTCAATCCCTCAAGAGACCATCTTCTCTCTCTGTCTCTGCTACTCATATCTGATTCTGATCTCTCTCTCTCTCTCTCCTCTCTCTCTCTCTCACCTATTAATGGGCTTTTATAGTTTTATCATAAATATTGGGTGGGGACAAGTGGTGAGGTGTACGTGTCAGCTGATGGTGGTGCAACTTGTTTATTTTGAGTGCTGCTTTTGCATTGCTAACTGACAGAAATAAGACATTTCAAAAGACAATTGGGACCATAATTAAGACATTTCAAAAGACTTCGGAGCATAAGACATTTCAAAAGACAATTGGGACCATAATTAAGCCATTTCAAAAGACAATTGGGACCATAATTAAGCCATTTCAAAAGACTTCGGAGCATAAGACATTTCAAAAGACAATTGGGAACTTTATTAATCCATTGATGTCATGTCATCTTATTTTCACATAAAATTAAAGCACAAGCACTCGGGTATTAGATCATTCAGATAGATCAGAATGGTCTTTATTTGCCCAAAAAAAAGAATAGAAGAACAAATAAAAAAGAACTCAAGCGTGGCTCTCCTATTAGCAAACAAATAATACAACTATTTCCAAGGCATGCTCTTTGTAAGAGGAATCCATGAATGCTAATTACTAATTAATGATAAAACACTACATCACAATGTTGGTGTAAGTGGCTCGATACAAGTCATAATGTGTAAGTCCCACATTTGAGAATAAAACAATAATATATCGTTTAAATATATAGATGGTCAACTCCTAATTACACCGTGTGATAAAATAGTTAAAGAAGTATGTATAGTTCCGCCTAGCCCTCCCAATTCTTCCGCTAATATTCTTAAGATTTTGCATAAATTGGTGAAATTAAATATGCACCCAGAGTTCTTAAACAGAGGAAAACAAGGGAATAATTTAAGGAAACGTTGCATTTCATTTCATGCATATGAAAATTGAAAAGATTAATGGTCTTGTCCGAGATTGAAAAAACTGGCCCAATCGCAAGGAAAATTCTACAGTGGACCTGGCGCATGCCCCCAAATTGCATGCGCCAATATATATTTTCATTAAATAACAAATTGCACGCCTCTCCAACAAACCACTTGTAATGTCTGCCAAACTTTTGTATTAGATACTGAAGAGAAAGGTACTTAACGTTGAAAGTCCAAACAGTCAAGTCAGGATTGCAATTTCAATCTCATATTTCCCTACCTATTGTCATCGCCAAACATATTTCCCTACCTACTCCCCATTGTCTTTATTATTCCCAAATTGACATTTTCGTTACCTAATCTTTACTAACTAAAGATTTCACCTTCGCCAACTTTCACGTTTTTTCATACAAGTTTCCTTGACCTCCTCCCTCCTTTGACGTTACATATATGAAAGCCTTGATCCTATACGTTCAACATGGATTTTACACATCTACTTGGAAAGCCTAATTAAAGAGATTATTCTTTAATCTACTAGTGCCAGCAATTAGATCCTTCCCATCAAAACATCTTTTATCCATATTTCCCCCTATTTTCTTGTGAATTATGCCTCTTTTTCTCCGAGAAAAATCATATTTTTCATGTTCTTCACGGTGTATGACGTATAATGCATCACATGTTACCTACTCTAACTAGATGAGAATCTAACTTTCAATGTTTTAAAAGGCATCAAAGTCAATTCATTTAACCAACTAACTTGTAATAACTCTTAATTCATTTTTTCCCCTTAATTTATGTCATTTTGCCCCCACCACCCTATAGGAGATGGTGGCCATCAACCATCAATCATTGTCTCTAGTTCCCGTTCTACCCTCAGTTTCCCTAAACCCTATATATCAAGTGATATATACTGTACTAGTGTTGTAGCTAGCATGAAATGCAAGGCATGTCTTAAATATTCGAACTCTAGTTTGCAAATCAAAATAAATTCAAGTACAATCAGATCTGCTCAGAGGCAGATAGCCTCACTCCACTCGCCCCCGGTTCTGATGAATATTCTTGGCGCCCCTACTCTTATCTGAAATTGTATTCACTCAAACCAAAATTTGCCATGAGAAGACAAACATGAGTAAGAAGCTCTCCTCCCTTTCTAAGATGTTGAGCGTGTTCATTCCATCCACATTGGCTTGCTGCATAGCACAACATCTCTATCCACACCTTAGCTATCATTTCCCATTTCTCTTCATTTCCCCATCCTTCCTCCGTTTCAAGTGATTGCAACTGTTTTGCAAGCCTACACCCGGTAAACAATACTGTCTTGCTTCTGTCCCCAATCACTATCTCTGGATCCACCTCTGTGTTCACCTCAAGCAACACTTGACGGGCACGGCCTTTTCCATTACTACCACTTATGATACATCTTCTCTTCTCAAAAAATTTTGTGGCCTCAGCACAAGTATCGCGGAACCTAATTTTCCCAATTCCCTTTGGCAACATGAAGGGGCGCATCACGAGAATGTGCATCAGGTAATTCGAGACCAACTTGCTGAAACTGTGTTTCGAATCAGAAGTAGGGATCTCCGAATATTTTTCTAGGTCAGTATAGTAGCACAAATCAGTTGCTATGTGCCACAGAAGAATGCTCTGGTCGAAAGGTAGTTCAACCAAGCTCCATATCAATTTGTCATCACAATTTGTCTTCTTTAGCACTTGATCACCTCTCCAACTCAAGACTTGGCTAACGTGATGTTCGCTTCGAGCAACTTTGAGTTGCTCAAAGATAAATTGTTTCATTTTGATAGGGACATCCTCTAAAGTTGAATAGCAGTACTTCTCCAAACTGTCATAGGTGCCAATGAACTTTTGAATTCCAACAAACTTTACGGGCTTCTCTTTTAGACAAAAATCAATGAGATTGAATTGTGTCATGGTTCCGGACCACCCTTTTTCATAGCTCAATTTCAACCGGAAGTAAGAGATTGCTCGATACATAGGTGGAGCAAGCGTATGTTTATACTTGCTTAACCAATATTGTGCCCAATCTGTGAGAACTAGTGCAGCGACAGCATATAGCTCAAGGGCATAGCCACATCAATGGTTGAATAACGATGCTTATCAATGACGAGACAGAAGAAGGAAAATGTGGAAATGCAGCAAACGAGGCTGATGGAGCGGAAAATGATACCTGTGAGAGAATACACCACGTTTGCCTTTGTGTACAACACATCATACATAAAGCCAAGCTCAATCTCCAGTAGTTTGAAGACGTAATCGAATGGATGGTCGCTGATCATGTAATAGCACAATCGTTCATCATAATGATCAAGGATCAAATCCGCATAGAGATGCTTCAAGATTTTGAATAATTGATAGGCTTCATGGAGAGGTTTGGCTTCAGCAATAGTGGGACAAACTGCAGGTATATATGGAGCTTCAGGGATCATAGAGAAAGCTACAGGCTCTCCCCGACTTTGTATGGAATAAACTTCAGCGGTAAACTCAGCATAATCACTTTGGTTAGGGGGTGGGAGCAACAGCTCCCTAAATCTCTCACTGCTTGCAGAACGCAGGACCCAAGTCCTCTCCCCATACTTGATAATTCCTGAAACAAAAATCGGTATTGCTAGTGAGGGGAGCTGGTACTGGCTTGCTGTCCATGACTGCAAAAAGATGTATAAAGCGGCTACAGCCTGCACAAGTAAGCCCAAGAGGTGTCTCAGCCAGAGCTCATTGTCCTCCAATGAGTAAGCAGTGATGGTGTCTGGGCCGCCAAGGTGAAGCAGAAGAAAGGGTACCCAGAAAACCATCAGGATTTGGCTGCTGTTTGAATTTGTGGAACTTTCTGGATCATTATTTTCTCCTTGAAAGCTGGATATCATGCCGAGGGCAACAGTTGCAACCCAATCTGCTGATAAGTATGCTGTCCAAGTGACAATTCTGATCCAGGGTTTTGCAATGTACTTGCGTCGATTTCCAAAGAGTATTAGCAGGACTTGTAAGCATAGGCTGCTTACAACCATTACCCTAACGTTCCATTCGCTCCATAGTTTTCCCACACTTTCTGGAATAATTTGCACCATCCTTCTTCTAATTATCATAATTATTTAATAAATTGCAAGCTCAAACTGGTGGGAAGGCAACTAAACTTCAATGTATGTAGTTAAAAGAAATGAAAGCTAACCCAGTGCCTTTGGTTCCACCGGTGTCAAGATCAGTCAATCCCCTGAAGAAGAAGAAGAGACCATATCCTCTCTCTGTCTCTGCCATTCACATCTCATCTCTCTCTGTCTCTATCTACTAGCACTTTTCTACTAGCGCTTTTGCTCAATGATTTAATCATGTCAATTATTGGGGTTGTATTGGGCCCAGGAACAAGCTGTGTGGCAGCACCGGATGATGCAGCAAAACAGAACAAATGTATTTAATTTTTTATGGTTGAGAGATGGTTGGGAGAGTTGGGTGAGCACGGTCCGGATTTAATCGATTTTCATCAAAATTATGGCCGAATTAATTACAATATAATGGTTTAATTTGGGTCGAGTGTCACAAAAATCACAGAGGAAACCGAACCAACCTAATTTAAGACATTTTGTTCGGTTTGGTTCGCCTAGTTTGCGCCTAAGCCCAATTCTTTCTCCTTTACATTTTTTTTTTTAAAGATTGTTTGCTCAATTACAACAAGAAAATTCACAACTTGCTACCTTTTTTTTTCTTCTCATTTTCTAGCACATGAAACCATCCTAAAACTCAACATGTCATAAAACTTCAAAGTTCAATAACTAATATAGCTAAAATTCAAATATCAATAACTTCAAAGTTCCATTAAACTTCAAATTCAACATTCATACATTCATATCTAGTTAAAATCCAATGAGAAGGCTACAAGCGTATAATAAAATAAAAATAAATAAATATACAAATAAACGCTCCAATTCAGTTTAGGCCAACTTGCAAAAGCTCAAAACCAAATCAAACCAAATTATTAACGGTCCAGTTCGGTCTTGAACTTATTTTTTTGGTCAAAACCAGGCCAGATAATCACATTTTGAATCAGTTAGTTCAATGGGTTCATCCGGATTGATGGCCACCCTTATTTGAGAGTATTGAAATTAATTATTGGATTTCTTTTCTGTTTCTGAGAAATATAATGAAGAATTTTACTAGAATTTTATTTTATTTTAATAAATAAAGTTGGAGAAAAATCTTTGGCCCCGTTTTGAGTTTTATTAAATGAACGTGTTATGTTCACCTAATGTTTGAGCTGGCCTGGCCAATGTAGATGATGGTACATTAATTGTTCAAAAACGGACGAAAAATAAATTACATAAAATTGATGCCAAATGATCATTCATCATCTTATCATTTATTAAAACATTGATGCCACCTAAAATTACAACACACCCACTTTATTAGATGGATCAGTTGGTTTTTTATCTGACCTCAAATGTATGCTCCTTGGAAGAGGACCATTTCCAAGTCATGCTCCTTGGAAGAGGACGCCATTGACAGTCATCCCTCCGTCAACGCAAATAGTTTGGCCAGTGATGTAAGAGGCCGCAGGTAGGCATAGAAATGCCACCAAGGCTGACACCTCTTTTGGCTCCCCAGGGCGTCCTAACGGTGTTCGAGAGTTGATGATCTTCAAAGAAATTTCGTTGCTGAGAAACTGCATGTATAGAAAATAGAACCGATAGGAAACATATTTAGTAGCTGCTAACTTCCAAGCTTGTTAGGTATAAACATAATCTATATATATAAAGCAAAAGGTAGAGAATGATGAAACATTCAAAATACCAGAACATTGCCTTGGTTAATTCACATTAAGAATTGAAATTATTAATTAAATGAAGATAATATGGTAAATTCACTTTTTTCATATTAAAAAAATTAAAATTAAAAACAAAATCAAATAATAGGTCCTACTTTTATGGAACATAACTACCTATGTTATCTTTTCTTAATTCTAAAAACAAAAACAAAAAAAACAAAAAAAAACAATTGGCACATGCTTGAGCATGTGTCAAGGGGCTAGTTTTCATAATCTGTCAAGCTCTTCAGCAAATAAGACTACATATACCAATTATTATCGCAACTTTTGAGTACAGTTGAATTTTCTACTTGTTTCAAATAAATGAGAATATAAAATGAGCTCAGATATGAATAAATGAAATATTGCCGCCTCAAGTTAAGATAGAAGATGTTAAGATAATAGCTAGTACTTTTAGGCCTAGTCGTGCATTGCCTGTTCTTTTCTTTTACACTTTTGATCCCAATTAGAGCACATGCTTAATTTGGATGTGTGAAGTGATCATAACATGGGGCAAAAAAAAACCCCATCTACCTATACATTAAAAAAAAAAAAAAAGAAAATTCAAAAAATCAAGAATGACATATTATACAAAAACTCATATAGAACTTATTTGGAGTGAAAAATCCAAAATTAGTCACTTGTTATTTTCTAATTGGTTATTAGTGAAAACCTACAAAAACACGCACATGATCATCTTACATGTTCAACGAGGGGAGTTTTGGTGAACCCAGGTGCAACACTATTAGTCCTTATGTTATCTTTTGCCCACTCACATGCCAAGTTTTTGGCTAATTGATTCATTGCTCCTGAAAAACAAAACAGAAAACGTCAACATTTAAGGTCAATTCTTCAATTGCAGAACACAAAGTTTCTTGGTTTTTTTCTAAGTACTAAACCCTATATTATATATATAAATATGTGTGTGTGTGTGTGTAAGGAAATCAAGGCACCTTTAGTGGCAGAATATGCAGATCCAACTTCCACCGAAACCACACCAGCAACAGAAGACAGAAAAACAATGTTGCCGGCTCCTGAAGCTTTGAGCAGAGGATGTGCAAGTTGGCAGAAGTGATAAGCAGATTCAAGATTGGTACTCATAACAAATGTATAATCTTCAGCTGTGAACTCCATCGTTGGTTTTAGTATGCCAGTTCCCACATTGTTTATCTACACCCACACATTAAATTTGCATGCCTTAATTAACTCAAAGTTCAGCAAATATACAGTGAAGTGACTCTAAAAAGAAATTGCGTCCATTTTGTTTTTGGTTTTCGGCGTTTACTTTTTTATTATTATAAAAGAACAAGAAAGCAAAAAGTACTTAGAATTTATGGTCTTATACTTACAAGGATATTAAGTTTTCCATCAAACAATGATGAGACTTTGTTTATAAGCTCCTCTCTTTGGGTTCTTGACACCACATCACACACTGAACCAGTGACTTGAAAACCCTTCTTCTCCCATTGGCTCAAGCAGTCATTGAGATCAACTTCATTCCGAGCACAAGTATGAATAGTCGCACCTAGCCCTGCCAATTCTTCCACTATAGCGTGCCTAATTGCATAAACAATTTAACATAAAGTATTAAAAACTAATTGGTACCTGATAATTTATTTTTATTTATTAAAATAAAAAAAATAAAAAGGAAGAAGATAAACGGGAGAATTTGGAGAAACAAAGAAAATTTTGCATGCATATGAGGAAGAAGAAGCTAACTAAACTAACCCAATCCCTTTGGTTCCTCCAGTAACAAGAGCAGTCAATCCCTCAAGAGACCATCTTCTCTCTCTGTCTCTGCTACTCATATCTGATTCTGGATCTCTCTCTCTCTCTCTCTCTCTCTCTCTCTCTCTCTCTCTCTCTCTCTCTCTCTCATCTATTAATGGGCTTTTAGAGTACTTCCACCAGTTAGCCCCTTGCCATGGCAAGGGGAGCCCTAGGGCGGGTACTATTCACGTGAATAGTGGCTGCCCTAGCACAAAAAAAAATTGTGTTTCCAGCAATGCAAGGCTTGCCATGGCAAATACTATTCATTTTTTTGTTTTTTTCACAACTTTGTTTACTTAAACAATTAATTTGGATAATATTTTCGGATAAGATTTTTGGGTTAAAAGTCAGTATTGGTTGGTATTTATAGAAAAAAAAATTCAGTATTTTTTTCGTATTTTTTTAAATTTTTTCCGATTTTTTTTTCATTTTTTATTGGGCAAAAAATTGCCTGCCGTTGGATTGCTGGAAAAAAACTAATCGGAGAGCCCAGGAGCTTCCACGTGGCATAGAGCTGTTGGGGGTTGCTTTTTGGATTTTTTTATTCGCGAAAAAATGGCTGCCGTTGGATAATTTTAAAAAGCAAATCGGATGGCCCAGCATGCGACACGTGGAATCATGCCGTTGGGCGGCTACTGTAGCGCGCGTCAAATTTTTTTTTAAACCGGGCGCGTGGTTAAAAAAATTTAAATAGCAGCACTGACATCGTCGTGACGTCAGAGCACTGACATCGTCGTGACGTCAGAGCACTGACATCGTCGTGACGTCAGAGCGCTGACGTCAGCCCAAAACGAGTTTTGTTGCTCGGGCTGGACCTCCCCAAGGGCCAGCCCAGACAAATTTTTTTTGATGGGGCCCACACCTTGCCCTGGCAGATTTGTGTTGCTGGAAACACCATTTTCCCCCAGCCCAGCCCTCCCCCCAGGCCCCCCCAGCCCTCCCCCCAGGCCCCTTGCTGGAAATGCTCTTATAGTTTTATCATTAGTATTGGGTGGCGGACAAGTGGTGAGGTGTACGTGTCAGCTGATGGTGCAGCAACTTGTTTATTTTGAGTGCTGCTTTTGCATTGCTAATTGACAGAAACAAGACATTTCAAAAGACAATTGGGACCATAATTAAGACAATTGGGAACTTTATTAATCCATTGATGTCATGTCATCTTATTTTCACATATAATTAAAGCACAAGCACAAGCACTCGGGTATTAGATCAGAATGGTCTTTATTAATTTGCCCTAAAAAAAGAATAGAAGAACAAAGAAAAAAGAACTCAAGCGTGGCTCTCCTATTAGCAAACAAATAATACAACTATTTCCAAGTCATATATATGCTCTTTGGAAGAGGAAGCCATGAATGCTAATTACTAATTAGTGATAAAACACCACATCACAGTGTTGGTGTAAGTGGCTCGATATAACTAGCCAGCATAGGCTTAAAATTCTGGATATAATGCCAGCACTCAAATCTTCAGCTCATTGATGTCTCAGACTCTCAAAGGACTGGACTGGTAATAGGAGAGAGAGAGAGAGAGAGAGAGAGAGAGAGAGAGAGAGAGAGAGAGAGAGAGAGTAATTGAACCTCCAACCCAGCACAACATTAAATTTGGAGATTGAAAGCCTGCAACTACCACATTAAAGAGAGAGTAATTGAAATCAGGTGTGCTGCACCCTCCAACCCAGCACAACATTAAATTTGGAGATTGAAAGCCTGCAACTACCACATTAAAGATAAAAAAAAGCTACAATTCATGAAGAAAGGAAAGGCAAGAAGAAAAGTAGTTGTGGTTAGGCAGTGAAAAATGGGAAACATGAAGGGCTCGTTTGTTACACAGTGTCTTGGCATGAACTATGCTTAGGGATTATCTTGGCTTGGCTTGACTTTGTCTAAGTTGGATTATACTTATCCTGCGTTTGGTATATGCTTGGACTAAGACTATATATATATTTTCAAAACTATCTATATATATATATATGCATATATGTATAAATACATATATTATGTATGTGTATATATGTATTTTATAATATATAATATGTATGTATAACATACATATAATATATATATGACATATGTGTATGTACATGTATATATGTATATTATAATATAATATATATATACATATATTATACATATATAATCTATATGTGTATATATGCGTGTATATGTATATTATAATACATACATGGGTATAATGTATATACACATATATGTATTATAATATAATATATATTACATATATACACGTATGCCATTATTATAATATTAATATGTATATGTGTATATGGGTATATTATAATAATAATATATGTGTATATATATGTACATGTATATTATATACATATATATGTGTATATATATACATATTATATATGTGTATATACGTGTATATATGTACATTATAGTATATGTGTATGTAAGTATAGTATAATAATAATAATAATAGTAATATATGTTATTAGTATTACAATATAATATATGCATTTTATACATTGGTGAGCATGAGACTAGTTAATTCTCCCTTTCCACCAAGGTCTTAAATATCGATAGTTTCGGAAATATCGGTGGTTCAAAAACACGGAAATATAGATGGAAATATCGGGAAAATATCGATATCGATAAAAATTGGATAAAAACCACGGAAGTTATGATAAATACATGGAAATTTTTAATGAAACTTTAGAAGAAGTTTATTTAGTCAATCATCTATAATTTTGACACAAAAAATTGGAAGGAAATGCATTGCATAGTGGGTTTGTGTGATTTAAGTTGATTATATTGCGACATGACAAACTCTGTGACTTAGAAAATCTGAAGTAATTAATGAAAGAGAATTAAACACCCCTTAGTAATTTATTTATCATTTTTTAGTACAATATTTTACACTTTATAAATTGCATGATAAGATACATGAGTAACCTTATTGCACGTTATTCACTGGACATGGTACACGTTATTATATCTATTAATTTATCAAAAATTGAAAAATAATTAAAGATGTAAACCAACTTGATTTGTCATGAAAATTAGGCACTTTACCATGCTTGAAAAATAATAATGAAGATTGAAAATTAACTAAGAACATAAATAAATTTATTCAATGAAAAATTAAATAGGAAATAAAGAAAATGATTATAGAAATTTAAGTAATTAAGCAACAATTTATTTCACGTTATTCATTGGACATGGTACACGTTCTTATATTTATTATTTATCAAAAATTGAAAAATAATTAAAAATGTAAACCAATTTGATTTTTCATGAAAATTAGGCACTTTACCATGCTTAAAAAATAATAGTGAAGATTGAAAATTAACTAAGAACATAAATAAATTTATCCAAGGAAGAATTAAATAGCAAATAATGAAAATGATTATAGAGATTTAAGTAATTAAGCAACAATTTGAAGGAGAATTTAGTAATGTAAGCACTTATAATGAATGATAAAATAATCAATAACATTAAATGGATTAAATAGAAAAGAAATAAATTATATTAAGTAATTAAGTCACATTTCCCACTTCCCAAGTACTTTCACGTTTCACTGCCTCCTTCTCCCACTTCCCAAGTTTTTTTTTCCTTTTTACACGCAACCTGCCTTCTCTCTCTCTTTTGGGCATTCACCCATCTCTCCCTTTTTATTTTATTTATTTATTCCTCTTCTTCCTCTTCCGTTTCACACACACACACACACACACACACTCTCTCTCTCTCTCTCCCCCTTTCTTCTTCTATCTCTCCGTTTCTCTCCCTTTCTTTCTCTTCTTCCTCTTCCCTCTTCTCTCTCCTCCATCACAATCCAAAACAGTAAAACATAAAGACCCACTCCATACCTTTTTTCCCTCTTCTTCCCTTCTCTCTCTCGCTCTCCTCTATCTGCTTTTTTTTTCTTTCTTTCTTCTTCTATCTCTCCGTCTCTTTCCCTGCTTCCTCTTCCCTCTTCTCTTTCACTTCATCACAATCCAAAACGGCAAAACATAAAAACCCACTCCATAATTTTATTTTATTTTCCTCTTCTTCCCTCTCTCTCTCGCTCTCCTCTTTTTTTTTTTTTTTTTTTTTTTTTTTTTTGAGTTGAGTTAAGATTAAGTTGAGAGACAGAGAAATGCTGAGTTTCGGAGGCTGAGGGATTCATCTGAAGGCTTAGTTTAATTTTGTAAGTTCATATCGCTATATTATCGTTAATATAGCGATATATTGTCCATTTAAAGCTGCAACTTGAACGAAAATATCATTACTAAAATATCGGCGAAATTATCGATAAATTGACGATATATATATATGGAAATGTGCTAAAATATCGTTGCCCCAAAAAGACGAGGCGAAATTATCGATATTTTGTTCTATGCTTTCCACATGGGTTTAGTAATCCCCTCCTAAGGAGGTGTTTTTGGTGGGCCCGGTATTAGCAATCCCATCTAAGACTATGATTAGATGAAACAAATATGGTACTAAATTTATCCAAGCCATGCCAAGTCAAGCCTGCGTAACAAACGACTCCGAAGAGCGTAAAGAGGGAGAAAGGAAAACATGCAAAATTAGGGTTTCTCAAATTGGGATCTTGGAATTGGAAGAGGAAAAAAAGAAAATTAATGTCCTCATCTGAGAGAGAGGAGGTGCAAGGGTTGAAAATTCGAAGCATCAATTGCAAGGATACTTTTTCTTACTCTGCTCAAACTTATTCGAGAATCGAGACATGGGCAATGGTTGATAATCATTTGCCTGAGCCCTACCCAAAAGGTTAATGATTCGTATCCCCCTGTATGGATTGGCCATTGCTGTTTTCGAGCACGCATGAGAAGAAACCACAACACGGTTGAGCTTTTCGAGGTTTCTTCGTCTAAGGGGAGTATGCTGGTTTCTTTATCAAATTTTTGTCCTGTTGTGTGCTTTTAGTGCTATCTGAAACCTCGATTGTCTTGCTTATTAATTGCTGATTTTTCATGTTTGGGTTTATTGATCTTGATTCTATCTCCCTTAAGCAGTACCTTGTTGTTCTAGTACTTAGGTTCTGTAGGCACTCAAAAATATCTTCCCACGAGTCTTGAGCCACAAGGCATTGGGGTTTGTTTATCCAATCACTTAAGTCTTTGTTTACTATTTATAGGATGACCCTTATAGATTCAGCATTGTGCTCTGCGTTTGTGTTTTCCTGTGCTTACAATCTCTGTGCGTTTACACCATGAGTGCCCAACTTAATGCCAGTGCTTCTCACAACAACAACACGAACCCTGTTGTGGTGAATAAGGGCATATTCACCTTTCGTGTTGATAAAAATGAAACTAGGTTCACTTCTGCCTTGGCCTCTAGTGTTTAGAACCACTTTGAAAACTACTGTCTGGTTGGCAAATTTTTTGGGAAGTTTGTGCTTAGGAGAGTCATTATGCATCGCCTTAAAAATGACTGGAAGTGCCTTCAAGGGGATGTCTCCATCGACCATATTAGGAGGGAGTGGTATAAAGTAGAGTTTTGCTATGAGGAAGACATTAAGTATGTGCTGGAGAACAGACCTTGGTTTGTACAAGGACAGATCTTTGCTTTGAAAAGGTGGTCTCCGAAGTTCTCCCCTTTCCATGCCACGGTGGACTCCATCTCTAGAGTTCTCCCCTCTCCGGAGTTCTATTGCCTAGAAGTTTATTTTGGATGCTAGATAGGTTTTGTAAAAAGGTCTGAGGTGGGTGGTGGGAAATGGTGGTTCTATTCCTTTCTGGACCTCCCATTGGGTTTTGCCTTTCCCTCTCCTAGACCTCATTCTTGAGCACAAAAAAGGCCCTTTAAATCTTGATCAAAAAGTATTGGACTTTATCACAAACAACAACTAGGACAAAAATAAACTCTCAGGTTTTAGACGATGATCTGATTGACAAAATCTTAACTATCCCTCTGCCTAGATCTAATCTGTAGGATAAAATGGTCCGGGGTCCTAACCCTAATGGATCTTTCACCATCAAAAGTTCCTACAATATTCAGATCCAGGAATGGCCATCCTACCCTCAAGCTGATCTGCTTAAGAAAATGTGAAAGCTCAATATTCCTCCAAAAGTGAAGATTTTTGTCTGGATGCTCATTCGAAAAAGACTACAAGTGAGAGCCAGACTGCACAGATTCATGCCTCATATTATTTCTGCTTGCCCTATCTGCTAGAACCAATATGAGACAATTCAACACATTTTTATGGGCTGCAACTTTGTTAAGGAGGTTTGGGGATGCTCATCTGATATCCGGCCCCCTCCTTCACAAACTGGTGATCTGTATAGATGGCTTTCATAGCTGGGTTGCTTTACTCCTAAGTCTGATCTGGACCTCATTTCCAAAACCCTCCTTATCTGCTGGCAAATCTGGGAGGCAAGGAATAACATGTTGTTCCAAGGTTTTAAGCAGCACCCGGCTTGTTGTATCCATGCTACTGCAACTATGGGTTTGGATTATTGGCAACTTAATTCATCTGTCCAGAAGGAAAAAGATATTCCCATGGTGATGAAATGGCATCCCCCTCCCACTAGTTGGATTAAAATTAACTTTGATGGGTCTCTCATGAACTCTCAAGCTTTCATAGGCTATGTCATCCGGAACTGCGATGGCCACGTCCTTCTAGCCAACTCTAATAACATTGGCGAGAATTCCATAAATGCAGTTGAAAGCGTTGCTCTTCGGGATGGTCTTGCTACTGCTATTGAGAGGGGTTGGGATCATAGTATGAAATATTGATAATATCGACGAAATATCGAGGATATTTCGGTTTTTTCGAATCACGGATATTTCGAAACATATCCATGTACATATCGTATAAATATCGACAATATCGACGATAATATCGGAAAATATCGATGTCGATAATTTCGCTCACACTTCAGCAATATTTTGTCAAAATATCGGTGTAATATCGATAAAATATCGAAAATATCGATGTAAAGGAAAAAAAAAGAAAAAAAAAGAAAAAAAAAGGGAAAAAAAGGGAGGAAAAAAAACAAAAAAGGGATTTGAACCCCTTCCATTTTACTCCTCCAACACCTTAACCACCATATATCACTTATGTTTTAGTGATAATATGTTAAAATATTTATATTTATATGGGTGGAATGTTAACAATTACATGCAAAACTATTTTGGGGATTTATCATTTGATGAATACTCTTTACAATACACTTACTCTACACATAAAGATGATGAAGATAGTGAAAATTTTGAACCTCATAGGAACTCTATATGGTACTAACTCACTCATGTATCTTACAATGCAATGTATAAAGTGTAAAATATTGTAGTAAATCATTATATATAAATGATTATGTTGTGTTTAATCTTTTTTTCATTAATTACTACATATTTTCTACACTCGCAGTGTTTGCTAGCTCGCTGTATAATCAACTTAAATCAGTTAAATCCATCATGTAATGCATTTTCTTCTAATTTTTTATTATAAACTAATAGATAATTGACTAAATAAACATTCTCCAAAGTTTCGATAAAAATTTCCAAGTTTTTCTTACAATTTCCGTGGTTTTTATTCAATTTTTATCGATATCGATAATATCTCGATATTTCCATCGAAATTTCCATGTTTTTAGACTACCGATATTTTTGATATCATCAATATTTTAGACCATGGTTGGGATCAAATCATGGTTGAAGGTGATTCTAAACTCATTATTGATAGTATCCTAAAAAAAGCAAGCCCCTTGAGCATCCAACATATTATTCAGGATATTTGGTCCCTTACTTCTTATGTCGCCTCTATCCGTTTCCAGCATGTGTTCAGGGAGACAACTTCATGGCTGATGCGGTTGCTAAGCTAGACCATGGGTTATCAGCGCAAGTTTGTTGGGAGCTTGGTCTTCCGTTATCAGTTTGCTCCCCCTTTTATTTCGACATCTTTGGGCATTATTGCCCTAGGGGCTTTGTTTTGTAATCTCTTTTCCGTATTTTTTTTAAAAAAAAAAAAAAAATAAAGTAAGTGGCTTGATATAAGCTATGATGTGTAAGTCCCACATCGGAGAATAAAACAATAATATACCGTTCAAATATATAGTGGTCCACTCCTAATTGCATTGAGGTCTTTTGTGATAAAATGTCACACCTAGAGGTCCATTGAGACTTCTCCCTCCTAGATGGTTAAGGAGTGGACAATATCAGTGCTTGATTTGGATCAGTAATAGACTACTATTGGGCCCATTGGAACAACACACCAATTAATTTTCTCTTACATCCAACCTACCACCTTCTTTATCTATAAATAAAACCCAATTTCTATAGTTAAAAACCCATGCCTATGATCCAACTCAGCAAGTTACTTAGTGCCAGTTTGGCATTGCTTATTTGGGGTGATAAGTGATTTTTTAAAAATTTTGAAAAGCCCAACCCGTTTGGTAAACTGCGAAAAAATCACTTATTGTTAAAAATTGCTGTGAGATAAAGCTATAAGGGAAAGCAGCTAATGAGGTGCTTCATTTTCTGATTATGCAAGAATCAGTTTCGAAGAGATGTTGGGTTTAATGATTATGCAGCAATCATTTTATGATTATGCGTAAAATCAATACCAACAACACTTTTAACAAAAATTTTACCAAACGCCAAACTGTTTTCTCTCACAGCTGATTTCTCTCGCAGCAAATCTGACAGCGATTATTTTCACAGCACAGCAATGCCAAACTGGCCCTTAATCAAGCTCAAAATCTTATTTATTTTACATTTTAGATTCCAAAAATACTTGTTTTCTTTAATTAAAACATTTTTTTGTAAATTACATTTTTTGATGACCTTTCCTATTGAGAGGGATGATAGCACACTAAACTCACACACACTACACTGATGCTAGGACTTGAACCCAGGACCTTGCCTGAGGGAGTAAATACTTCAAATCACTACACTAGTGGGTCCTTTGCTTGTAAATTACGTTTTTGTTGTAGTTGTATCATGGGAAAACATAAATATAATCCCTACAATTGAAAAAAAATTTATTTAATTATCATTTATTACCTTTTTTTTTTTTTTTTTTTTTTTTTTTTTTTTTTTTTTTTTTTGTAGTAATCTGTTATAAAATAATTTAGGGATTAAAAAAAAACAAAACGGGATCTTAATATGCTAGAAATAAGGGATTATTAATTAAAAATTAGGGAGTTAATTACATGCTTGAAAATAAATTACAATGGCATATATTGTAATTTAGTTAATAAAACTATGACATATCTATATTACATGGCAAAATATTTTAAAATTAGGTTTTAGACAAAAATTTAGATATGAATGGATATATGTTTAGGATATAAGAATTACAAGGGCCTATATCTAACGGACCCAAAAATGAAAAGGAAAGAAGAAAAACAGGGGAGAATTTGGAGAAATAAAGAAAATTTTGCATGCATATGAGGAAGAAGAAGCTAACTAAACTAACCCAATCCCTTTGGTTCCACCAGTAACAAGAGCAGTCAATCCCCATATGAACGTGTTATGCTGGCCTGGCCAATGTTGATGATGGTACAATAATTGTACAAAAACGTACGAAAATTAAAATTTAGATACCATACTATTAGACTAAATGATCATTAATCTTACCATTTAGTCGTTTATTAAAACATTGATGCCACCTTATTTTTACATAAAATTACAGCATGCACACTCACTTTATTAGATGAATAAGTTGGTTTTTATACGACCTCAGATATCTATCCTACTCCTACTAGTAGATATGCATACACAGAACCATTTCCAAGTCATGCTCCTTGGAAGAGGAGGCCATTGACAGTCACCCCTCCATCGACGGAAATAGTTTGGCCAGTTATGTAAGAGGCGGCCGGTAGGCACAGAAATGCTATCAAGGAAGACACCTCTTCTGGCTCTCCTGGGCGTCTTAATGGGGTTCGAGACTTGATGATCTTAAAAGATTTTTCGTTGCCGAGAAACTGCAAGTTTAGAAAACAGAACAGATATGACACATATATTAGTAGCTGCTAAATTCCAAGCTTGTAAAGTATAAACATAGTTTTCATAATTGGTCAAGCTCTCCAACAAAAAGACTCGAGGTACCAATTATTATCCCAACTTTTGAGTACCAACTCATGTGTGACACATACAATGAGCTCACATGTAGGTAAATAAATACTGTCAAATTAATTGGAATAATAATTGGTACTTTTGTTCCTAGTCGTGCCTTCGGGGCCTAAGCATGAATTGGCAATGTTGCAGTGCCTTTTCTTTCCTTCTATTTACTTTTGATCCCACTTAGAGCATGCTTAATTTGGTGATCCCCACTTTATTAACATGAAACTGATCATGATATAAAAAAATTTATAAAATAAATAAAAATAAAATAAAATAAAAAAACCCATCACAATGCTAACTGGATATGATCATCTTACGTGGTCAGCGAGGGGAGTTGTGATGAACCAAGGCGCAACACTGTTAGTTCTTATGTTATCTTTTGCCCACTCGCATGCCAAGTTTTTGGCTAATTGATTTATTGCTCCTGAAACACAAAACATAAACGCTTCAATCGCAGAACACAAAGTTTCTTGTGTTTTTTTTCTTTCCTAAGACCTAAACCCTATATATTATATATCTGTGTAAGGAAATTAAGGCACCTTTAGCGGCAGAATATATAGATCCCAACTTCCAATGAAGTCACACCAGCAACAGAAGACACAAAAACAATGTTGCCGGCTCCTGAAGCTTTGAGCAGAGGATGTGCAAGTTGGCACAAGTGATAAGCAGATTCAAGATTGGTACTCATAAGAAATGTGTAATCTTCAGCTGTGAACTCCGTCGTTGGTTTTGTTATGTTTGTTCCCACATTGTTTATCTACAAATATGCAGCAAATATGCAGTGAATGACTCTAAATTAAAAGAAAATGGCGCTTTGAAGGACTTGAACATAGGGAGGCCTTGTTTATTAGCTCCTCTCATTGGTCCTTGCATTCTCCCTCATTTCTCCCATGCATATTTTTAACTAAAACCGCGAAAACGAAAACACTTACCAAACGAGCCCTAATTAAACTTTTAGCTAATACCATTTTGATCTAGCTACACAGTCTTCACTTTGTGAAAGGGGTCTTGAAATCAAATTTAATGGACGAGAAGATAACCGTTTATCAATGTCTGCTACAAAAGCTAATACCAGTTCAATTTTCTCTGTGACAAAAAATCCTTAATAAAACAGTAAGCAAGCAAAAAAAGTGATTTTTTGTACTTACAAGGATGTTAAGTTTCCCATCAAACAGGGATGAAAGCTTGTTTATAAGCTCCTCTCTTTGGGATTTTGACACCACATCACACACTGAACCAGTGACCTTGAAACCCTTCTTCTCCCATTGACTCAAGCAGTCATTGAGGTCAACTTCATTCCGAGCACAAGTATGAATAGTTGCTCCAAACCCTGCCAATTCTTCCACTATAGCATACCTAATTACATTAACAATTTAACATAAAGTATTAAAACTAAGTGGTACCCATAATTTATTTTTATATATATTATAAATAAATAAAACGAAGAAGAAAAACAGGGGAGAATTTGGAGAAGTAAAGAAAATGTTGCAGCATATGAAAATTGAAAAGATTAATTAATGGTCTTTTTCCAAATAGAAAGCATAATAAGAAATTAAGAAGAAGAGAAAGCTAAGTAAACTAACCCAATCCCTTTGGTTCCACCAGTAACAAGAGCAGTCAATCCCTCAAGAGACCATCTTCTCTCTCTGCTACTCATATCTGATCTCTCTCTCTCTCTCTCTCTCTCTCTCTCTCTCATCTTTTAATGGGTTTTAATAGTTTTATTATCAGTATTGGGTGGCCATGACAAGCGGTGTACTACGTGGCAGCTGATGGTGCAGCAACTTGCTTCTTTTATTGGTCTGAAATGCTGGTATTTCTAGTGGACTGTCATGTATAACTATGATTAGATGATTTGGCCGAAGACAAACTCTGCAAACATGTGGATCTGCTTGTACATGAAATTTTTTACTTTTTTTTTGTGCAAGTACAATTATTGGTGCAGACATGGGCCAAAGCCCGAACAAATCCATAGCTAAAGTTTGGTAAGTCCGGCCCAATTTTTTGTTAGGTAGGGCTTAGGCTAATAGTTTCTAATCTAGACATGGCCCGTTTGAACCCGAATGTCCTAGTCCTGGCGAGGCAATGAAATCCAAGCCCAACCCGCAATAATGTGTAGGTTTGTGGAAAGGGTCTATGCACATGGGAGTTTTATACTTATCATGACTGTCGCCCGACAACCCTATTTGAGATTTAAAAGAAGTAGAAGATGAAAGGAAACGGTTCTATACTTATCATGACTATCGCCCAACAACCTTAACTACACAGCTGTCGGCCCAATTTGACAATGAATGCACTGCACTACAGTTAAATCGGGCCAGTAGTTGTGCAGTCACAGAATATTAATATTTTTAATAACTGTGATTGAGAATTAGCAACAGGGCCTTAGAACATCCACAATGATCATTTTCTGGACTTCAATTTAATATGGTCAAAGTCTTCATTCGGAGTTGAGAAGCTCAAATTATGATGCTTACAAGGTTGCTTGGTCATGCATGACCTATGCATACATTATTGTTGTTAATGGAAAAGTTAGGATAGCTGCATTGTTATCATGAAATGGCACTTGCAACCCTATCACGTGAAGATAAGAAGAAGTGGATGCAAAGAAGACATAAACAATCCAAAGAATATGAAAGTGCCACACCACCAAAGATAAAAGAGAACAAAATTATATCAAATGGAATTGTGGGTTAGGTGAAGGAGCTAAAGTGATGAGTGTGGCTATATTCAAATAAGATTATTTCCTTTAATATGGGTTAGGTGAAGGAGCCAAGTGAGAGTATAATGTGTGTTTGAAATAATCTTTGTTTTGCAGGTTGTCTAAAACACCACAACATATTTATCCTAGAAGAATTACAAATATTAATCACAAGAAACGAGCCTCAAATTAAGTACGGTATTTATTCTAATTTGCATTCGATAAACTCAATTGACAATCTAAATGGTGATCAGGCATCAAGAAAATCAATCAAGTTATTAAACACGATGATTAAGAGTCTAATATCAAAAAGCAATTACTAGATAGAAAAACAAGAAAACTAGATTATCACACTAGGGCTACATCATGCCCTAACTAAAGAGTTTTATTTAAATAAATAAAAGTAAAACATTATAAAGCTAAGAAAATACATGAAGGAAAATCTAGCAAAAAGGTTTTATTACAAACAATTGAGAACTAAAAGTAGAACTAAGAGAATTTGAAGGAGAGAAGGGAGATGAGCTCTAGAGAGATGTTTGAGAGCTCTCCACCACCACCCCCGCCCCCCCCCAAAAAAAAGGGGTTGTTTTGAAAGCTTGGGGGGCCAACATACTCAACAACAAGAAGCCATTAATCTTTTTTTATTTTTATTTTTTTTAAAAACTCAAATACCTAACCCACAATGCCATTTCTCACTATTTATTCTTCTTCTCACTATTTATTCTTCTTGGTGCAGCACTTCAAGGGCAAATGGATTGGCTTTTAGTTTGGCATCCCACTTCCTTCTTATCTAAGTTTGTGGATGAATCAAATCATCCATTAACAAGCATAATGCATGCATCGCTTATGCATGATCAAGCAACCTTGTGAGCATCACAACTTAGGCTTCCCAACTCCAAATGAAGACTTTAACCACACTAAATTGAAGCCCAGAAAATTATCTTTCCAATGGAATAAGGCCTATCGCCAATTCTCTATGAAAGCTATCGAAAATATTAATATTCCTTGACTGCACAGCTACTAGCCCGGTTTGACAGTAAATGCACTGCAGTCTGCTTGTAGGCATGAATTACGGACAAATATGAACCTTGAAGCTCTGTCTTATCTTTCCAACCATATGTAGCACATCTTAAGAAAAAATCGAAAAAGCCTTCAAATATCATTGTTGGCATAGTAATGCAGATGCTTCCGAATTTCACCTTAAGGTGCCTTGTCTTGAAATACTACTTTGCTTGGCTACTCTAAAAATTCTAGAAGAATTACAGAAATATGAAATATGAAATCTTTATGCGGACTTGCTCATAATATCTCTATATAAATAACACTATACATACCCAAGGTCGGCCAAGACCCCAAGGAATCAATCAAACATTAAGGTGATGATGCTTAGACAAGTTCGTCATCAAAATCACAGCTGATAATTTAAATACATACCAAAACGTTATGTCCGTTTGAGCTGGCCTAGCAAATGTAGATGATACTTTATTTTATTAGATGGATCAGTTTGGTTTTTATCTGACCTCAAGTGTCTGCCTACTAGTAGATATGTATACATAAAGAGAACCATTTCCAAGTCATGCTCCTTGGAAGAGGGCGCCATTCACAGTCACCCCTCCGTCGACGCAAATAGTTTGGCCAGTTATGTAAGAGGCTGCCGGGAGGCATAGAAATGCCACCAAGGCTGACACCTCTTCTGGCTCTCCAGGGCGTCCTAACGGTGTTCGAGAGTTGATGATCTTCAAAGTTTTTTCGTGGCCGAGAAACTACATGTATAGAAAACAGAAACTGATAAGACACATATTTAGTAGCTGCTAACTTCCAAGTTTGTTAGGTATAAACATAATTTTCATAATCTGTCAAGCTCTTCAGCAAATAAGACTACATATACCAATTATGAATACATTTGAATTTTCTACTTGGTGCAAATAAATACAATCTACAATGAGCTCAGATATAAATAAATGAAACATTGTCACATCAAGTTAAGATGAAAAATGTTAAGATAATAGCTGGTACTTTTAGGCCTAGTCGTCGTGCAATGCCTTTTCTTTTCTTTTATACATTTGAACCCAATTACAGCATACTTAATTCGCATGTGTGAAGTGATCATGACATGGGAAAAAAAACCCATTAATCCTACCTATACATAAAAACAAGCACATGATCTAGATATTATCATCTTACATGATCACCGAGGAGAGTTTTGATGAACCAGGGTGCAACACTATTAGTCCTTATGTTATCTTTTGCCCACTCACATGCCAAGTTTTTGGCTAATTGATTCATTGCTCCTGAAACACAAAACAGAAAAGCGTCAACATTTAAGGTCAATTCTTCAATTGCAGAACACAAATTTTTTATATTATATATATATATACATGTGTGTGTGTAGGAAAATCAAGGCACCTTTAGTGGCAGAATATATAGTTCCAATCTCCAGTGAAACCACACCAGCAACAGAAGACAGAAAAACAATGTTACCGGCTCCTGAAGCTTTGAGCAAAGGATGTGCAAGTTGGCACAAGTGATAAGCAGATTCAAGATTGGTACTCATAAGAAATGTGTAATCTTCAGCTGTGTACTCCGTTGTCGGTTTTGGTATGTTAGTTCCCACATTGTTTATCTACACCACACATAAAATTTGCATGCCTTAATTAATTCAAAGCTCAGCAAATATACAGTGAAGTGACTCTAAAAAGAAAATGAGACTTTTCTTTTTTATATAAGCGACAATCTAAACTACATGGAGATAGGGTTTCTCACACACACTGGCACGTGCCATGGGGATCTTGATCTAGTGAAACACAATGTTCATTCGAACTATAGCATCTATGCCATCTTGTCTGCTACAAAAGCTGATACCGATTCTATTTTCACTATGACCAAAAATCCTTAATAAAAGAACAAGAAAGCAAAAAGTGATCCTTGGTGCTTAGAATTTATGGTCTTATACTTACAAGGATGTTAAGTTTTCCATCAAACAATGATGAGACTTTGTTTATAAGCTCCTCTCTTTGGGTTTTTGACACCACATCACAGACTGAACCAGTGACCTTGAAACCCTTCTTCCCCGATTGACTCAAGCAGTCGTTGAGGTCAACTTCATTCCGAGCACAAGTATGAATAGTTGCACCTAGCCCTGCCAATTCTTCCACTATAGCATACCTAATTACATTAACAATTTAACATAAAGTATTAAAACTAATTGGTACCCATAATTTATTTTTATTTATAAATAAAAATAAAAAGAAGAAAAACAGGGGAGAATTTGGAGAAATAAAGAAAATTTTGCATGGATATGACAATTGGAAAGATGAATTAAGGGTCTAATCATAATTGAAAACATAATAAGCAATTAAGAAGGAAGAAGAGAAAGCTAACTAAACTAACCCAATCCCTTTGGTTCCACCAGTAACAAGAGCAGTCAATCCCTCAAGAGACCATCTTTTCTCTCTGCCACTCATATTTGATTTCTCTCTCTGATCGCTGTCTCTCTGTCTCTCTGTCTCTCTCTCTCTCACTCTCCCACACACACACACACACGCATCTATTAATGGGCTTTTATAGCATTAGGTGGTCGACAAGTGCTGTGCGTGGCAGCTGATGGTGCAGCAACGTGTTTCTCATCGAATCAGACTCTCTCACCGATCCCACTCACCAACACCAACTGCATTTTATTCAAAAGAGGTAATTATTTAGGGAGTTGCCACGTAACAGCAACGTGTTTCTCATCGAATCAGACTCTCTCACCGATCTCACTCGCCAACTGCATTTTATTCAACAGAGGTAATTTATTTAGAGAGCTGATTTTTCCACTCTTTTTTTCTCCATTTACCTTCTCTTTTGCTTTTTTATATTTTTAATCATTTTTTTTCTGTTTTATTTTTTCTCTTTCCTATTCTACTCTTGCTATACATTAATTTCTTTTTACTTCACTTTTATATTATTTCTTTGTCTTTCATGTCAAAATGATTCCTGTGTTTTATCACATTTGCCAATTTAGTCCATGTGTTTTTAATTTGGCCAATTTGATCCTTATATTTAAGACCATTAATCAATTTGGCATGTCTCGTTAAAGTTGCCAATAAATAAACATGATAATCTTTTTTCATTTTATTTTGAAAACCTATAAAGCTTTTTGAAGTTAATAAAAAAGTTGTATTAATTTTAAAATACATTAAAAGTTCAATTAAACTAAAATATATCATTAGAAAATAAAAAGGGCATAGTCTAGTCAAGAAGGAGAGGAACTACTCAGCGGGTGAAGAAGTGGGAATGACCACTGTGGAGTGCTAAGCCTGCATGAGCTTTTATTATATATATTAGAGGTGGGTGCATTGGAGTTGGGGAGGTAAGTGTGGCTTGGAGAGTTGGGGCCTTTGGGTGTCGGTGGAGAAAATGGTTGGGGATAGAGATTGACATGGTTGTTGGGTTGCTCCCACTTCTACAATCAATGTGCAGCTCCTCCCCTCCTCGACTATGCCCATCTTTTCTTTTTTCTAATGCTTAATTCAACTTTTTATTAACTTCATTACACATTATAGGTCTTCTAAAAATAAAATAAAAATATTATCATGTTCATTTAACAACATAAAGAAAAAGAAATAATATAAAAGTATAAAGAAAAAGAAAATGAATTCACGCTCACCAACCTATCCGATGCTACTTAGCCCGATTGTAGCTTATTATGGCACAATAAAACTCAAGTACAAGCATGTTAAATAAACACGCGATGCCACGTGAAGGACTGCTATTCTAATACCGAGCCGTGCTACAAGCTTAAGTGGGCCTAAACTAAGTAATTGCCCGAGGCTTGCTGAGAAGGTTGTAGTATGGACGGGAACAAGCAATCATAGGGCCTATTGAGGGTTCGAGGAATGAAAGTTTTAAGCCACTTGCGAGTATTAAAACTCAAGCCCGTTCCTCGGGCTCAAACACATAGGCTAGCATGAGAGAGGGAGAAAAGTGATCCAATACCTTAAGAAGACATCTATTAGTCTGTTATAACACTTAGACAAACTCCCATCAGTAAAATGCCCAAAATAAATAGGCTATTTTCAGCAGCTTGACGAAAACCCATTAGATGCTGGAAATAATATGCCAATAACACAATGCTGTACACAAAGCCCAGCCCAGTGCCTTGTAAAAATCTAGCATCGTGCTCCACCATTGTCAGAACTCCAAGATGGTCAACGAGGAGCCATGGCAGGGACCAAAGGAAATCCATTTATGTAGGAAGAATATCCATTGGACAAATAACTCTACCCATTTTCTTTTCCCCTATAAGCTCCATTTTAAAAACCAAGAAGGAAAGCAGGTGGCGCCTCACCCCCATGGGGAGGTCCAGCCACACAAAACCCTTGGAACCCCAAAGGGCTCCTTACCCATGCGCCTTGGATAGGAAAATTTCACCAAATAGGATTGAATGGAAAAAAGCAAAGAGAGGGAAGAAGGAGGTTAGACAAAATTAGGGGTTTTAAGTGTCTATAAAAAGGGAGCTTCCTCTACCCAACAGATCCATCATCCAGGGTGTGACCAAGCTTTGTCAAGCAACTGGGAATTTACTCAAGACACCCTATCTTCTTCTTCCGCTGTTATTTCTCTATTCCTGAGATAGAAATCTTCCTAATTTTCCCTTTTCCCATTTTAAACCTTTGCTCTTTGTAAGAAATTCATGATTCTCTCTCTCTCTCTCTCTCTCTCTCTCTCTCTCTCTCTCTCTCTCTCTCTCTCTCTCAAGTTGCTAAACTTGTGAAAGCTTAACTCCCATGCCACAAGCTCTTGAAGCCAAGTCACTCCTCAATTTGTTATGTTTATTTGGCTATTAGTGAAAAGAACCTAAAAGTGTTTTCCTAAAGTTTCATCAAACTCTTCGAAAACTCTTTTGGGAGCTTGGTTCTTGAACTCAGGCACTGGGGGAATTTTGTTCGTTTCTTCTTACAGCAGCCTAAGCCCATTCGTCAGGCTACCGGAATAAAAAGACCCTTACAAAATTAATGTAGGATATGGGTATAATAGGAAATAGAAAGAACAAAAAAGAAAAAAATTAATTCAAAAGTATTAAAAAAACAAAAGGGAGTGTAAGTAGAGAAAAGAGGAGTGGGAAAATCAGCTCCATTTATTTATTTACAATCTCTCTGCATATTTGTGTGTGTATTAGGAAACCACAACCTCGTTTAAGTTCTATTCCTTGCTAAAATATTGTATGAAAAGATAGCCAACCTACTATTTAATTAAATAAAAAACAGAAAGAGAGGAAGAAGAAGAAAGAAAGAAAGTGGGTTGACTCGTAATACATGTGTTCGGCAAGAAAAATTAAGTCTTAAACCAATGCATTTTTTTGGAGAACCTTAGTTTTCCTTTCATCAACATGGGCTAAATACATATTATTTTAAGTAATGTGTACCACAGTTGATATTGATATTGAATGATTACTTCACCTTTTTAGTTGATATTGATGGATGAGTTTAATTTGGGTTACTGTAACCGTGCTCCAAAGATTGATATTATTTTCTTCTTGCTTTCTCTACTATTCTCTCTATTATTTTCTTTGTTTTCAACGACTGTAGGAAAAAGTGAAAATCTGTGTATGTATTTATCTTGTGTTTATGAATCTTTTCATTGTGTAAATCTGTCTATAGGCTCAAAAAAACAAAGTATGGAAGGAAGTTCTCAAACTCCTACCATTAACACATCTCTCACCAACCTAAATTAAAGTCCTAGTCCTATACCTACCATTGCTACCACTAAGCGATTAGTTCAAGGGGGAACATCTACACTTCTCCCAATTCCTAAGAAGAGAGTACCCTTTAGGAAAGCATCAGAGGTTTGGAAGCATTTTACTAAGAACACGGTTGAACTGGGGAGTGATATAGGACCTAGAGCTTCTTGCAATTATTTCCATCAATCTTATGCATGTGATCCAGTAAGAAATGACACATCTACATTGTTGCAACATTTGAAATTTCAATGCACAAGGGGTTCTCCATTGAAAGAGAACAACAAACAAAATGTTCTTTCATTTGATAAGAGATGTTTAGTTTCACATACATATAGCAAATAGAGAAGTAGACTTGCTTGTATGAAGATGATAATAATTGATGAGCTTCCTTTTAGGCATGTCGAAGCCCTTGCCTTAAGTTCCAATCCTGTATACCATTCTAGGATCAAACATTTAGATATTGACTTCCATTTTGTAAGAGAAAGAGTACAGAAAAAGGACTTTGATTATGAAGTATATTCCTACTGAAGAATATGGTCCTATGTTTCTGAGACATTGTAGAAATTTACAAATTAGAAGCCCAGGTGGGTTTGAGGAGGAATGATGACTGTATTGTCTAGGCCAGCTCAAGGTTGTTAGAATAGCACATGGACGTCACGTGTTCGTGTTAGTATTGTTATAGAATTTGTTAGTGGGTTTGAGGAGGAATGATGACTCTATTGTCCAGGTCAGCTCAAGGTTGTTAGAATAGCACATGGAGGTCACGTGTTCTTGTTAGTATTCTTATAGAATTTGTTAGTTTGTTAAGATGAGTTTACTTAATCTCTAAGATTGTTATTAGGTATATAAGCTGAGCTTTACATTGTAATCTGATAAGTCCATAAATTTACACATTTATGTACTCTTTATACTTAGTTTTTGTATGAGAATTTGATTTTAAAAAGCTTATTACTTTATTTTCTCAATTTTCAGCTTTCCAGAGCACGTAATTTGTTTTCAACGGAAATACAACTTTTTGGTGGAGTTTTAGTACAAGACTAGTTGGAGATGAAAGCTAAGATCTTGAAGATGATTGTGGAATTTTTCTAGAATTTTGGGAGCAACCAATGAGAGCAGTCTTTAAAGTTAAGTCAACATAAGGTGCAATCCCGTCAAAACAGTGCTGCTGTGGAAGAATGATTATTTGAAGACTTTCCTGATTTTTCTCAAGGCATGCAATATATGGCTGGAAATATAAGACAAAGAACTACAATTTACATTTTTTTTCCGAATTTTCTTGAAGGAGTAACAACCTCAAATGTGCTTGCAATGTAACTGACGTGTTATCCCAGTCCAAGTAGGAAGATGAGTCAATTACTTACCCATTTTGGATTTATGTTTTAATTAGGTTTTTCTTTATTTTTAGGCTGTTGTAAAAGCCCAGCTAGGGTGGGAATAGACGTGTAGTGTTTTATTTAAGCATGAGAAACCACTCCTTTAGGGTCACGCAAAGACTAGGAGAAATTGAAGACATCGGAAGAGTACCACAATTGGCTAAGTTTTATTGTTTCTTCCTTATGTTTTTGTTTATGTCGAATTCTATGATTATGTGTAACTAATTTTCTTTTGCTAGGGCATGATGTAGCCCTAGTATGATAATTTAGTTTTCTTATTTTACGTATTGATTGTCGTTTGATGTTGGATTCTTAATCATTGTGCTTAATAACTTGGTTGATTATCTTGATGCTTGATCACCATCTAGAC